TATAAAACTCCTGAAATTATAATATGTTCAAGAAAATAAAACATATTATGTATTTAAATTTAATTATATTTGTCTTTATTTTATAAAATTCAAAAAAAAAAAAAACAAACATTATTAGTAAAAATATTGTAATTTAAAACAAAAGAACAATAAAAACAAATATTAATTATTTAGCGTTTATCATTATAAAATAAAATATTATATTGTATAAAAATAATATAAAATACAAAATAGAGAAATAAAAAAAAAATAATTCAAAAAGCTGAAACAAATCAATAAACAACCAACATACAACTATTTTATATAAGGAAGATCAATCATAATTATTATACACATGTATAACAAATTCAAGATTAAATTATTAATGCAAAAACATTATAATAACAAAAATTATTAAACATAGTACAGTTTAAACTTTTGTAACATCATTAAACTACTCAACTTTTGCATTATTAAGTTTTTATCTTGAATTCGTTTTTATTTTATTTTTTTTTCAATTTTTCATTTCTAATTTTTTTGCATTTTTTCATTTTTATCTACATAATATTATATAATATTCATTCATAAAATATATAAACTACTATATCATGCTAATATTCCGCAAAATAATTAGAAAAAAAAAAAAATGAAGATGAAAAGAAATAATTAAAAAATAATGAATAAAATAAAGAAGAAAATAATTGTTAAATTAAAGTTTTGCATTTAAAATGTAAGCAAAAAAAAAAGAAAAAAAGACAAAAAAAAAACAAACATTTAAAAAAATATATAAAAAATATTTTTGTAATGAAATATTAGTTATGGAAAATAGGTACGAAATATTTTTTATTTTATTTTAATTTATTTATTTGTTTTATTTATATAATAATGTACGTATAAAAAAACAATTATTTCTATTTACATAAAATCTATAAAATGCTATACCATAAAATTTGAAAATTACTAGTCATTTTCTTAATAAATTTAAAATATTAAAAATATTAAAAATATAAAATTAAAAACAAAAAAGCAAACACACATACAAAATATAATTGTCGTCAATATCAATATATTATGAAAAAAATTAAAATTTCCATTTTGTAAAAAATTTTAACTATTTATTTTACTTATTACTTTTTTCGACCGTTCCCCCGCCCTCCCGCATTGAATTAGAATTAAACAAAAATTCCATAATATTCAAATTAAAAAATCATAGTTTTAATATTGCTATTTTAAAATTATTTAAAAAAAATTATTTAAATTATATTATTACAGAATTTTTTATTAATTAAAAATTACAAAAATAATTTTTACATAAAAAAAATAAATACGAAATTAATTAATTTTATTTATTTTAATTTTAATCAAAACAATTATATGAAATGTAATTTATGTAAATTCACAAATGAACAAACCATATTGTAACAAATAAATTAAATGAAAATAAAAACAATAAAAAAAAAATAACATTAAAAATTTGTTAAATTATAAATTAATAAATTATTAAAGTAAAAATAAATCATTTTTCGTATTTAAAAAATTAAATGTTTTGCACTCTGAATTATAAATTAATAAAACCACATCTTATACATATATATTGAATATTTTTTCAAATTTTCCAATATGAAATTATGTAAATTAATATTTAATTTTAATTTTGATTTTTTTTTTTTTATTTTTTCCAATTTGAAATTCAATTGCGTGTAAAAAAAAAATTTTCAACCATAAAATCTTTAATATTTTTTATTGTAACTTCCAAACTAAGAAATTGTAAAAAAAAAAAAATAAATGAAATTAAATTAAATTTTATTGTAATATGTAATTGTAAAAATAAAACAAAAAAAAAATTATTGGTCTTCTAACTAAAATTGAAATAAGAAGAATTTTCTTTTTTTTTTTTTATTATTAAATTTGAAAATTTAATTTTTAAATTAGCAATATAGTAAGAAATATAACGAAGATAATGTTTTCTATTTTAAATAATTAAATGAAATAACAAAAATTTTCATAAAAAAAAAAATGTATACATATTTAAATCCATATTCAATAATATTCTGCTAGTCGCATTATTTGAGCTGATGCGATATTATTAAAAAAGCATTTTGATTTTCAGTATAAAACTTAAAATTCCAAAAAAAAAAATTTATTTTATTTTAGAAAATTATAAAATTTTTTGAATAACAACCCACCTTTGGGTAAATTATGTATCTTCGACATAATATCACTTGTAAGCTGATGGGATGCTATTCAAAAAATTTTCAAAAAATTCAAAATAAAATCAATTTCGATATTTTTTAATATTATCACATTACTTCAAATGATGGCGTATCTAAGAGAATTTAATAATAAAAAAAATTTTTAGTTTAAATAGGAATAATTAAAAACTAGTCCATTAATAATATTATATATGTATTTCTTTTTTTTTAAAAGGATAAAATTCGGAAAATAAATATAATATTTTATATGCTGCTGGAGAATGTATAGTTTGAAGACCACCATCCATATTGTGTATTATTATATTTGTATTTGAAAATATTCTACCCAAAAAAAAAAAACAAAAAAATATTAAAAATAAAAAAAAAAATGAGCACAAAAAATATAACACATTACATAAAACTTGCACCCAAAAAAAAAAATTTAAATTAAGATAAGACAAAAAAAAAAACAAAAATTTTTTTTTTCTTTTGTTATTTTCTATATAAATAAAGATCCTTTTCTAGTAGTACATTGCATTCCTAAAATTGAAAACCTTTTATAATTTTTTAATTTAAAATGTGTAAATTAGAGATTTTCATTACAAAATAAAGAAAAATAATAACAACAACTACATATTATGAATATAAAATAAAATATAAGTAATAAATAAATTATGAAAAAAAAAATCACTTAAAAGCAGGCATATTCAATTTAATTTTAAAAAACACTCAACTGGCTTAATGTAAAAATATAAAATCATATTTTTAATTTTATTTCCTATATATTTTTGTTTTCTTTTTTTTTTCATTATTAAAAAACACAAAAATAAATGTTTTATTTAATATTTTTTAATATTTCTGTTTTTTTTTTTTGTTATTTTCTTTTAATTCCTTATTAATTTCAATGATGTGAAAAAGAAAAAAAAAATATTTTTAATTACAGCAATTTTTAAGCTTTGTTTTAAAAGCCATATTAATTATGTACTATATTTAAAATAAATGTAAAAGAAAATATAAGAATAATGCATAAAAATAAACACATATAAGTACCCATACTTTTTTTTTTTAAATAATTAAATTATAATAATTTTTATTATAAATATTATTACTATATATAATTATTATAATTATTATTATTATTATTATTATTACTATTATCATTGTGTCATTATTATAGTATGTATAGTATTTAAGAATTATTTAAAAACGTTATCGTAGTTTATGTAAATAAAAAAAAAATTTATTAAAGAGAAAATGAAAAATAGACCCTAAAAATATCTATATTAACATGAAATAAAAACCTTAATATTGATTTCAAAAATAAATTATATGAATTGCATTTTTTAATTTAAATTGTTACTCTACGTACATAATATGCATGTCATCTAAGGTTCCTTGCATATTGAAAGCTTTGACTTTAAAAAAAGTTACAGTTAGTCTTTACCAGTAATTAATTGAGATATCAGTAAATTAGAAATTTTTACATTAAACCAATTTGTCGTTATAGATTACCATTTGGGGGTTTACTTGAAAAAAAAAAAAAAAAGAAAAATCATACATAGGATGTATACCAAAACGCAGATCTAATATTCAAAATAACTTATTCTGTAATTAAAATGATATTGCTGAATAAGACAAGTTGACGTTAAATCTGCATTTTGGTATACACCCATATATTTCATACGAAATAAACTCGAATGCCAGGGCATCGAGCGCAGAATTCTAGACGCAAGACCATACAACACAAGCGCAAAAGGCAGACCTAGATCTAGATGGTTCGGTGGTATAGAGACTGATTGTAGAAGAATTGGGGTCCATAACTGGAGGGCAGCTTCCCAGAACCGTTAAGTTTGGCGAAAAATTGTGAAAGATGTCAAGGCTAACCCGGAGGTGTAGAACCAAAAGATGATGATGATAATGACTTTATTGTGGTAGCTAGTTACATATATAAAATTTTTATCAAGTTTTTTCAGAACAATGCAAAACAAAATGATTACAAGGAAAAATGGGTACTGTGCAGTCGTCATTCAAATTTATTTTGGTAATGTTAGTTGTTCCAATTTTTTTTTTGTTCAGGTATGACACAAGACTGAAGTTACAATTTTACAAGAAAAATTTTCTTTAGATTTCACTTTAAAAAAATTAATTTTGGGCAAATGTGCAACTTCTGTAATCAGGAATTGTAAATTAAGAACCCGTGTTCCAAGCGTTTATTTAGTTGCATTATGCATATTCAATAACACAAATGCATACCTAATTTTCCAGATACTGTCATCTTAAAATGTAAAATTGCTTTGAAAATATGAAAACCCTTTCAAAAAATCAAATTTCACTTATATCCATATTCTCTTATTATCGATCTACTCTTCTAATATTATATTATTCTTTTGTTATTTATATTACTGTATGATTTTATTGCATATGTAATGGATTTAAAATCTAAATATAAATATTTCCACATTATAACTGTTCTTTACATGCAAGAATCACCTACGGCTTTTTTTTTACAGTAAAAGGAAATGTCGCTAACTTTTTTCATAAATTGTCAAAAAATAGTTACAAAAAACTATATGCGTATAAAATTGGAGGATCCCCATTTTAGCAAAACAACAAACTGCTATAGAATTTTCTTTTATAAAAATCCAAAGGAAAAACTCTTGTGAAAATTACATATTCATCATTTCTTACGTTATACAGATTTTAAATTGAATTTTTAGTTTTGATAACACATAAATATTTTATAAAACATATTAAATATTTAAAGAAAAACTAATTTGCAAAAGCATTGTAATTCCTAATTCCATAAAAATTCCAAATTTCTTTAACGAAATCATACATACCACGTGTATGTTCTAGTTGATAAAAAACGTATAGCTTACGGTTTCGATTTATCTTAATTATAAAAATGTAATAAATCAGGTTTGAGTTGTTAAATTAAATTTTTATATGTACATACAAATATTTTTTTACAATAACATTATAAATGTTTTCCGAACCATTTGTGATCCACGGGAGAAAGCCATCTGTGACATCCACTAAGATTATTTTGAATAACGTATTTTAGAGTATATGGGTTTAGATTTTCCTTTTCTTTTCTTTCTTCTTCTTCTTTCATTTCTTCCAACATTTGTTTTGAAACTACCTTCGCTTTGAAAGGTAAATTATGGGCTACAATCCTTAATATTGGTTCAACTTCTGAGAATTCACATTTCCCACCCATTTCTACAATAACACGACCACTTTTCACGGGAGTTACATAATGATCAATTGCACCTTTGCCACCACCCATTCTCTGTCCTTGTCCTTTTTTCGTTACCGGTTGCCAAGGTGCTGTTACTCTCCATATTGCAAACATGCGATTAACATCCATTTTTCGGCCAATTGTCAAACGCATCATTTCGAAATGTCCCCATTTCAAGCGACCACCACAAGTTGCTATTATACCATATTGCTCGTGTAAGAGTGTATTATGAACCAACTCGGGCCCTCGCATTAGTTTTAATTTCTTTTGCATTTTTGGGGGCCTTAAGTTGGGTGGATATTGTGGAACCTTTTCCATCATTTTTAATTTCGGTCTCTCTATAAATTCCACATCTAAAAATATTATGTTTAACATATAACTTTTTATTTAAAATTTGTACTTTATATAATGCTCGTACATAAGTACGCATATGCACGAGCTAAATACAATGGAATACGTACGATCATAATTGACTGGAGGCTCGAAATATTTTAATCCGCAAAAAATTACATGTTGTGGTCGAAAATTGTCTATAAAGACAACTTAAATATTTCAAAATATGTATTATTAATATAGAAAAATATTACCTATTAACAACTTGTTTAGTTTTAACATTATAAATAAATTTTGAAGCTTAACAAATCGTTTAGTAAATCTAATCAGTTCAAATAACCTAAGTGTTTATAAAAATGTAAATAAATAAATTAACCACAGTGCTCAAACTTCAAAATAAGCTGTGTTTACACGACTGCTCTTAACACATAGTATGTTTACACAATAAAGATTGTCAAAAAATTTTTCAAGTATTTTTATAACGAAGATTTCTCGCAAAGTATGTGAATTTGTTACAATTAATTAAAAAAATATAAAAAATATAAATCAATAAAATAAAAAAAAACTTGAAAAAGATTATGCAAACAAAAGTTTAAGTCCGCTATGTAGTTTTCAAAAAATTCATGATTTACATTATGATTTTTCATGCACGGTAAATCTTTATTCGTTAAAGAAAAAAATTATTGAATTGCGGAAACATGATATATAATATGACAAGAAAACAAGAAATAAAATATTTCAAAACCTAAGAAATCAATAATGCAGACACGTTCTTTTAAGAACATGATTAAAAAAAACCAAAAAAATATAATTTTTTCAAAAACAATATGTTTGAAAGTTTGATTGTATGACACTTTTTTAGTTCCAAAACTCCACACTTGGAAATGAGTCAATATCGACGGCAAAATCTAAAATTAAAATCTATTATAAAGTCTGATAGCACTGTTTACATATATGACTGAAATCATCTGAAACTTTATGGCAAAATTTGCCATGAAAATTATAAATATCACATCACGAAGTCTGATATCAAACAGGGTTTTTATATTATACGAGTTTAATCAGACTTAGATTAAATTACAGATTTTGTCTTAAACATATATAAGCAGTAGTTTAGCTTTAGAAACACAGCTTTAATCCAACACAGCAAATTGACAGAATTTTGAATAACATTGCATAATTATACCGTCTAATTTAGGCCTCTAGGGTATGCTTGGCAGCATGGATGTCAACGCTTTTGACATTCGTTTTGACAATCAGAAGCAAATCAAATCTTAGATACTGTCGCACGTGGGCTTTTGTTAGATATTTTCTTTTCTGAAATTAAATTCTTGAAATTTATTGCCCGCAAAACGATGGTAGCTTTAACACAACAAAATCATGAGTTAAATGAAAATGGTGAAGTTAAAAGGAAAATTCCTAAAGAAGTTTATATAGTTTCACAGGAAATAAAGATTGCAAAAAATTTGTCTTCCTGCGATTTGAAATTAAGAGAAAAACAATTAAAAAGGTTACGAAAGTGGCTTCAAATTCGTTCAGAAAGCTCTTTTGGTAAATCTACATACTTAATTATGTAAAAAAAAAGTAGGTATTAAAAATTAAATATTTAATATTCTAGAATATACAGAAAATGATTTCCTAAGAATTTGGAAAGGATTGTTTTACTGTTTTTGGATGTCAGATAAGCCTTTAGTGCAAGAAGATCTAGCTGACCAATTCGGTACTCTAATAGGATGCTTTAAGGACTTAAAAACTTCTTTAAAATTCTTTAATGCTTTTATGAAAACTATGTGTACCCATTGGTTTGGTTTAGACCAATGGCGTTTAGATAAATTTATGATGGTAAAAATCTAAAATTACTTACATTGTGTTAAGCATTTTGAAATTTTTTGATTTTTTTAAGTTAACTAGGCGAATGTTGCGCCACACTTTGATGGCTATCAAAAAACATAATTGGCCAGAGGAACACATACAAGATTTTAATTTCTACTTGGCAGAATCAGTTCTTGATAATGATGTTACCGGAATGATAATGCATCTTGTAGAAATTTTCATGGATGAATTAGCTAAAGTATCGAATGGAAAGATATCAGCAACCGCCGTTGGGGAGTTTACAAAGCCTTTCATAATTTTCTTAGCAAAGCAAAGAGACTCAAAAATATTAGGTGAAGTTCGTAATAAAATATTCTATCATTTGTTATGGCAGAGTGAAGCTGGACGTGCTTTTCAAGATAAATTTGAAGCATGGAAAGCGGTAAAATAGATTTTACTGGTCAAATATCAAAAAAATTAAGCTTTACATTTTAGATGGGTTTTCCAAATATCAACATAAATCAACTAGAGAAAGTAGAAACTGCGGAATCAGATGCAGAAAATGAAGAACAAATTGAAAATGAACAACAAACAATGGATCCAAGAGCTGGGAATGTCGATGTATTTATTCCAATTTTACCTGTTGATACAAAATTTATAAGTCGAATTTTTGAAAAAATACTTGAAAATGAAATAGCTAACGCAAAAAGCAAAAAGTTCATAATGACTCTCTTAGAGAAGTAAGTCTTCTAGAAAAACAGTAAGAATTCTGAGCATAATACTTTCTTATTTTAGATACAGAAAATTTGAAAATGGTGAATTTCCTTTGGGAGTTCATAAAATGCCATCTGTTAAAATTGAACCACTAAAGCCATTATTAGAAAGGACCACACAAGAATTGGATAATCTGGACGAGGAATTACACAGTGTTGACAGAAATCTAAAAAAACTTAACAAGAAAAAGAGGAGGAAAATATTAAATTCTCTTAATCTTGAAGAAGTTGATGAAAACAATTATGAAAAAGTACTTCAAAAAGCTATGTCAAAATATAAAATCGGAAAGGGAAAAGATGACGAACTACATAAGCAACCGAAAAGAAGAAAAATTACAATGACATGGACAGAGGAAGAAATCGAGCCTAAAGAAAGTAAAAAGAAAGTGGAATTGATTACAAATACTACACCAAGTGACGATAGTCCAAAAAAAGTTAATTCTGTCAAAATAGAAAAAAAAAAGACAAAAGGAAATACTGAAGAGCAAAATGTAGTACAACCTTTTAAATCCGAATGGGATAAACCTTTAGAAGATGGTGAAATTGAATATTTTATCCCTTCAAATAAAATAAGATTAAACGAAGCAAATAGCAAATTGGAAGAAAGTGATGGTAATACTGAGCAAAACTCCAGTCTCGTTTTAAATCCATTTTCAAAATTGAATTCATCTAAAACATCGAAAAATATTATTTTGGGGAAAAAAAATAAAAAACAAAAATTATTAAACGTGTCATTGCCAGAAAAGAAAAGAGTTAAAATTGCATTGGCGAAAAATATGATACAAAAACCTAGTGAATATATTAAACAAATTAGGAATTCCCCTCAACTTCCATATGATGCAGATAAAAAACCAATGAAAAGTTTGCTAAAACCCAATCAAATGCCCAGCCCTATAAATCCATTTTATAAAAAAAAAATAGGTTTACAATTAAATGAAACATTTTAAATAACATTACAAGAACTGCATGGTTGCAAGAATATTTCTCAAAAAATAATTTTTCAAAAAAGTTTATATGTTCTAAAAAGTATATTAACTTTTCCAATAATTATCTACATTGTATAAACTAAAATTTAAACTGTTTACATTAAAAAATAAAAATGTATATTAAAATTAAACCAATATTTAGTCATGTTTTTTAATGTGTAATTGGTATTGTAACACAGGCACTTTTCTTGTAATGACCAGTTTCAGCTTCAAAAAGAATTTGCTGGATTTTAAATTTTGCGACTGATCTAGAATAAGCATCCGGAATACCTAGAAACAAGAGTTTTATATAAACTATAATGGATCTTTTATTAAATCGTACTTCTAAGCTGTGCTGCAACACTATTGCAAAATTGCTGATAATCATCGTCTCTGGGAGGTTCAACCCTGTAGTAAGTTTGAATGGACGCTGAACTGTTATTTGGATTGTGTTTTTCTGCATGTGAAGTTTGATCTTCTTTAATAAATGTATGTTCTTCAACATAATCTTCATACGGATAACCCTCTTCTGTTTGTACTCCTTCAAAACTTATATTGTTTGGATTAACTTTTTCATCTTCACATTGGTTATGTGTTTCATCTTCGGACATAGTTTCTCTTCGTTTCATTGCTATTGATGGATTTAATACTTGAGTTGCAATCTAAAATTGAAACAAATAAAAATCTTGAAAGAAAAATACGCAATAATTACTTTAGTATTTTGGTCAATCACATTTTCTTCTACTTTATCCGGGTATTTTGGTTTACGTGATGTTGACACTGATCGTAAAAATGCATCAGCTTGTTTAAACCAGGACAATTTTGGCTCATGTGGTAGTCCTTTTGCTATTTGTGAAAAATTAGTTAAACAATTAATACATAGTTATATTCCACCATTTAGAAATTCCATAGGCACTAACATTTCTTAAACAGAGAAGTTTCCAATTCCTTTTTATAAGTGGTTCGTACGCCCTTAATCTTTGCCCTAATATCATTATGTGTAATTCCATTCATGTTAAGTTCTTTTATGATTTGTTCATATGCTTCGTGTCTTGCTCCCTTGTCTTTATACGAACTAAGCCTTTTAATATTAATTTATTTATTAATCTTAATACTTATGTATATATGTATATACAATTCTACCTAGAATTCCATAGGCATTCCTGTTTCCCATAACATTCCAAAAACTTTTTAATTGAGATATTTCTTAATTCTCCACTATACAATGATACAGATTTGGACATAATTTTTGGTTGGTCGTTTTGTTTTTCAGCTAGGATGGTAACAAGTTTTTTGTTTTTAAATATGATTCGAGTTAAAAACAAATTATTGAATATCTTTTTTCAACTTTCAATTCAATATTCCGCTTCAATTTTGACAATCAATATTACGAAAAGCAGTGTAGCCGAAAATTTCAACATTAATATCAGAGACAAATACCTTAAGCCACCTGGTGAAGATAAATTTAGCCAATTAACATTTTATGATTATGATGCTTGACTTATATTAAGTATTTTAAAATATCTGTGTATTATTTTAAAATATTTCCAGACTGTCAATCCAAACATCTATTTTTAATTTTGCCAGCAATAGAAAAATTATCAAACTAATGATATTTTGGATACTTGAATTCAAAAATATACGCTTTTATGCTCGAATTTCAATCAATATGAAAGAAATGAGTCACTTTATGGAAACTAAGTTTTTCGCATTTTGCATTCAATGTAATATATTTACAAAAGTTATGGCATTTAAATAAAATTCAAAGTTTGATTATGTTTATTGATAAGTCCATTAATATGGTTTGGATTTATCATATCTTAATCATTGGAAAATTTAACGTCAAAGTTCCGTAAAATTGTCGTCAGACTGTTGATGCTATATTCAAACTAGTACGGCAATACTAAACTGATTGACATTTTGCTTAATATCAAAAATTTCATACCACAAATCACAATTATTATTAACGACATATCTATAATCTGTCTAATATCCTTGCTAAGCGGCAATTGAACATCAACAGTGTAATTTAATTTGTAATATAAATAGGTAAATTAGTCGCTGGCTATCGAAAACAGAACAGAAGAATACTCCTATATTTTTAATTTGAAATTGAAATTTATAAAATCTTGGTATAAAATTTAAATACTGAAAGGAAAATTTTTAAATATTTGTTAAAAAATCCGTCATGGCAGAAGGTAAATACACATTTTAATAAAAGAATGAAAAATTTAATTTTAGGTTATAATGGCTTTGGTTCTTATGTTATTCCGCCAAATGTTTTTTCAACTTTGTTATTTTTTTTAAGGAATACCGGATGATATGTGGACCCCATACAAGCACTTACAAAGTGTAATAGAGAATTCACTTCTAAGACCAAGCAAAAGTAATCTACCTCAAATTGAAGTTGTTTTGAGAAAGTCGAAACAAAATTTTGCAAGTTTGTTAAAAAATCCGGTAAGAGGAATATTGTAAATTTTTAAGAAGAAAAAAATAAAACAGCGGAAAATAAAATTTTTTTTAAGCCTAAAAATGAAGTAAGTCGTAATGCTATTAAAAAAGGTATCACGGAAGGGATTAATGTACCCGGTACCGGAAATGTAGTTCTATCAAAAGATCTTGTAGATGAAAGTATTATTCTGTCTGATATGTATAACTTGGATGAAAACAACGCATTAGAATTACTATGCACAGCACAACAACAAATGATACATCATCCTGGTACTTTCTAAGGAATTATATATTTTATATAGATTTAATTTACGTATGGTAAATATTTATAGGTTTGCCTAGAGGACTTGTGGCAATTTTACTATATTATGATGGTCGGAAGGCTTTGGCTTGTTCTCTAAGAGATTTATTACAAGCAAGAGCTGGCGTTTCTTGGTGTACTGAAGCGCCAAAAGAAGTAAGCATAAATGAATTACCTTTCCTAAAAAGCAGAATACCATTTAAAAGTTTAAAATTTTTTTTAGTTAGTACATTTAATAACTACCTACACAGACAGTTTAATAAGTGAATCGAACGTTCTTTGTCACATTATAGATTTATTATCTGAAATGGACATAACAAGTGAGGTAAGGCGCAGCAAAAATATTTTTCTGGAACTTGATCAAGTGTTTTATTTGAATTTTCTTATTTTTAGCTCGAAATTTTAACAAAAAATCGTGCTGTCGGGCCTCCTAAACACCATCGTCAAGTATTAGATTTATTTGAAGAAATTCAATTAGCGCTTGCAACATCCCTTTTCAACTGGTCTGCTCAGTGCGGACTCCCAAAAAATGTTACAGAAAAATTAATGATTCACCTATCAAAATATAAACCGACAGAATCAAGAGGTGGAATGGACAATGTTACACTTACTTTGCTTATGGCTTTGTTATACGCATTTGATGCAAGTGTACTACAAAGGCATGAAGATATAGAAAGATCAGTTCAAATTTTACCAATAATTTCTGAGAAAGACTATGCACAAAGTATATATAATATTTTAAAAGATTCTAATTGGGAATGGGATAATAAATTGAAGTCAATAGTCAATTTCGCTTTTGGACTTTCAATGGCTACATTGCGCCATGCACCACAAAATTTAAAATTTAATTCAGAAAAAATTATAGAAAATGACGAGGATATTGTGGATGAAGCAATCCAATGCAAAGTTTTTGATTTTATACATTATTATTTACTGGAAAATGAGCTAATTTATAAGTAAGTTTTTTATTTGGTAGTCTTTGATCTTAATTAAAATCATTTTAATTTTTAGGACTGAATTTTTTTATCGTCGCATTCACACCATTTTTACCGATTTTATTGATTACATGCATTCTAAGGTTAGAAAAACCTGCTTGTTTAAAAATGTTGTTATTCACATTGTGAAATTTCTTATTTTAGGTAACAGAGCTTAGAGGGAGAGCTGATGAAACTGCTCGCACAGTTCAATCGTTTGCTCAGCAAGGTTTAGACTCTCCACCTAATTTAGATAGAAATTTTGAATCGTTAATGCTGGCAGTTGGCAAACTTTATATAAGAGATGATCTTAAATTAAACTTATGCGTTGAATACTGGGGTCCTATGGAATTACAAACAAATTATGCCAAATCTACACCACGTTCTGTTTCGTTGTTCAAATTTATTCGCTTAGCTGGGGATCTTTTACCACCAATTTTATTTGTTCCGTACATGAAAATGTTGGCTGGTTTATCTAGTAGTGAACACGCAGCACGATGTGCCTTTAACTTGCTAAAACAAGGTTCGGGACTTACTAATAGCACTACCATATCATGGGATCATTTTTTTGGATCGTTGTGCAGATACTACGCGTAAGAAATGTCTATTTTGTAAAGCGAAGCTAAAACTATTTTTAATCTGTTTTTGTTAGAAATTTAAGACAAGAACAAGCGCCTGGTACTGACACAATTTATCGAAATCGTGCACTAAATCGTACCATAAATCCTCAAGAAATTGAAGGTTTACATTCCGTATTAGAAATAATACGAGTTGTCGCTAACTATGATGAAATAGCTCGAATATCTTTATGTGAACATCCAAATTGGGCACCACTACATGTTTTAATCGGTAAGTACTGCAAGTATTAAAAATTAATAAGAAAATAATAAAAATCTTAATATTTTTAAGGACTTTTGAGTTGTTCAGTTCCTATAAGCTTAAAAGCGGATATTATGCTAACATTGTCGACTTTAGGGAAATCAAAGGATACTGCAACTCAACTCTGGAACAACTTGGAAGCTTCTCAAATTATAAGAACAATTCCAACCACAAGTATTTATTGTGAGTGTGAACAAAACTAAGTTTTATTTCGTAAAGCCTTCGTAATTTTATATTTGCTTATAGGTAGTGGTGGATTGGAAGCTGAAATAGAGCAAAATGAAAGTAGAAATGAAATTTATCCTCTCACACGCGCAACTTTAGATTTGTTTTATACATTGGTTACAGTGGGGGTTCCGAGAAACTTAGGTGTTAGTCCTAGAAAACCTGGACTGGATCCTTATTTAACATTCATTGTTGACGTTATATTCTTGAAATTTTATAACAGGTTTCAAAAAAAATTCTTAATAATATGTAATATTAATATGCGCTTTTTTTAGGAATTATAAAAACGTTGCCGAGAAATGGAATGTTGGAGAAAAATGTTTAAAAGTTTTATATCATTTTATTAAAACATATCGTGTTAATCCGATAGATTTTATTGAAAAAAAAGAAGAAAATTCTGCACCTGGTTACCATTTAATGCTCCAATTACATACAAAATCTGATCTCTTGCGTTTGATGTTGCATGTTATTGATGAAGCTCGAAACAGCTTAGACTTATACACTCCTTTTGCCGGAAAAAAAGATTTGGAATCAGCTGCTCTATATTGTCTAAACATATTGGAGAAAACTCTTTCTGTTCAAGAACAGTTTTTCGAAGCGCATTCAATCTCTAATAGTTCAATTTTGTTGTCTGGATTAAATAAACTGATTTTAGATGTAAATCCAAGAAGTGGAAAACCCGATCACATTCTTAATACTACTAAATTTGTAACATATAATAATTGGCTGCCAGAACATGCTCTTGTTGCAGTAAAACTTTTAAATATTGTTGCAAAACAGCCTAATGTAAATCCTCAAATTTTGGGAATGCTTGCCCAATCCGAAAGAATTCAAACAGAAATATGCCATGGTTTTGTAGAATGCTTTGAAAGTGATATCATAATTGAAGATGAAAATGATCAATCTTTAGAAAAAATGATTGGTGATATACAATTGGGAATTAAAGAAGCTATTATTGAATTAATACAAGATTGCTTGCCGCAACCCGCTCCAAATATAGCATTATTTTTGTTAGGATTTGATGTTAACAAGGATTTTCGAAGTAGTCACATACAAAAAACTAGTGGCATTTTAAGTTCGTCAAATTCTTGTACAAGATCATTAGTTTCAATGCTAGACAAAAACTTGGAGGTAAATTATTTCGACTTTAAAATTGATTTGAATACTCTATCTAAAATGCATTGAATTGTTGTGCTTTTAGCTTATAAAATCTGGAGTGGTTGTCAGTTCAAGCGAAGAAAAAATAATGGAGAAGGCATACGGTCTCCTTTACACTCTATGTTCAAATCAAATTACTTTTAACACAATTTTACGTTACTTAAGATCATGCAATGACTTTTTATGTAGGCATATTGCGGCATTACCATTCCAGAACTATACAAGTTCAATGGTGTTGAATCAAATGAGTTTTCTTTTAAAATGCATTGCTATAGAATTAAAAATTACAGCAGACAATAATCAAGTTAGCCAATTTTCCAATTTGTGTAAAATTTTATTGGGCATTGTACAAAATAACATTCAGGAAAATATACCATTTGAATTAAGTCATTATTTATCAAATACTTTTACCGATACAATAAGTGATTCTTTAATTGTTAACAAACGAAATCCATCGGACCAACAAGCACCTAGAATATTGATTTGCCATTTATTGAATTGTTTAGAATTCCAAATGAAAACTTTACCACAACCAGATTGGCATTATTTTGATAATACATTGACAATGTCCCTCTTAAGTGATTGCGAAGTTAAAAATAAAGACATTATTGGTCCAAAATTGATTGACATAAAAAAATTACACGAAATTCTTACAGACGAATTAAATACAGTACAAAGTTCCATAGTAGCTGGACAACGACAATTAATAATGGAAGAAATACAGTCGTTCTTAAAATATGCTGTTAAAGTTAACGAACAGAAAAAAAGTTGTGTGGCCACAATAAAATTTGTTGCTGCTTGGGGTCAAGTAACTGAGATACTATTTAGTGTATCTCCCAATTTTGCTTTGCCTTTGGAAACAAAGCAAGAATTAATATTAGAAATACTACAATGTTTATTAAGCAAGGTTCAAAATTAAGATTTCGAACTATTTTGGTAACAAAATAATTTTTTGATTCATTTGTAGGTGGTTCCAGTGGAGGTGATGATGGAATTAGCTAATATAACATCAGCTACAGTTTTAATTTTAATGGTGAATTTAAAAAATTGTTACAATAATAAATTTTGTAACGCTAATGAAAGCTCAGGTACTTTATCTTTTAAAAGATTGGAAAACTAAAACTAAGGGTTTTTATTTTTAGACAAATTTCATAATATTTCGCTACGTCCAAATACACATGTAAAAACGTTTGGTACATCACCAAAATCCAATACTTTGAGCTTGAAATTCATTTTACAGAACATATTAGAATGGATTATTCTGAGCGGTGTTGGCTCTCAAAAGTTAAGGATTAACTTATACGCTTCACTTTTGAATTTTATGAACATTGTTAAAGGAAATGTACCCGACAAAGAGTCTTCGGTTGACAACGAATTGTAATTGACCTCTTATTTTCATTTTGCAATTTAAATAAATTAGTGTTAATTTTTCTGTTTTAGCTATGTTTCCAGACTAGACTCATCAATGACATATCATAGTGAAAATAAGGAATCAAATCAGATACACATGGTAATTGAAGTGTTTTCCAGTTTCGGAGAAAAATTAATTGACATATTGTGCCATGATTGCATTGGTGGATTGGACATTTGCAAAATGTTGGCATTATCATGTATTGATTCTTTACTTGATATGGATTCCTTCACCAATTTTGTAAATTTCATTGCTAAAAGAGGATATCTTACACATTTAATTGATAGCTTAGCAAAAGGTGATGATAGTTTGTGTCGTGTTTTAAAAAGTATTCCAGATGATATGAAAGCGTTGTATGTTTATGAATCAAAAATGGCTACGTTATGTAGAATTGGTAGCTCGCATATCGGTGCTGAATTATTATTAGAGAATCGCGCTCTGGGAACTCTATCTAATATGAAAGTATTTGATTTACATCCAGATTTTCAAGTCAATTCATTACGTAGACCCGATACCCTGGATAGAAGTTTATTTGTTCCGTCTGTAGAAACCCGATATCAACAGATTTTATTTCCAGCATTAAATCTTTGTGATTGCATCATTTCGACTTTGGGGCCAGAAAATCATTCTGCAGTTTCACAAGTAATACATTTCCTTTTGTCTCATGGTGAAACTATTGAAATCGTTTTAAGAACTGGAAATCCATGTTCGGGTTTAGAGTTATTGAAAGAGCTTTCTGGTATTACTGGTTTAATAGCTAGATCGGCAAATCAGGTACTTATATTTGCAAAATACTTTTCATCAATCAAAATCAAAAAGTGTTATTTTTAATATTTTACAGGATATATGTTCATTGCAACAATCACTTGATCAAGATATTAGTGCTCAACTCTATCGATTACAGAGATTAATATTATCACTTTATCCAAGATTTATGTTAAGCGAAACAATACTCAAAGAAATGATAAAAGTTAATAATAACTTTTTTGAGGAAAATGAAAAAGCTGTTGTAGAAAGGAATAAAGCATTGCACATAAAATATTTTCTTGAAATAGCTTGTAATTTGAGTATGTACTGCCGAAATACCATAGCAAATCATTCTGCTGACCACAGAACAACTGCCATTCTTTTTTCTCCAAGTATAACAGAATCAACTGTAAATAGGTATGATAATTTCACTTTAATTTTGTGATAATTGATCTTAGACATTCATTTTCAATTTTATTTTTAGAAATGATTATCGAGGAAATACTTTGGAAATAACACCAAGTTTAGGTATAGTGGTTAATCAACTAAAATATTCTGTTGAATATTATAATAGAGAAAAATTGATTTATGATAAATTAGTACGTCAAAAAGCTGGGTTACCTTCAATCACCTTGGATTTATCTGGTATGAAAAATTAATTTTTTTTTTTCTTATGGAAACTTATTTTATATATAAATAAAACAGTTCAAGCACAGAGTAATGAATTGGCTGAAAGGATAAATGAAAAGCAAAGTGAATTAAACTATTGTACTTTTATAACTGAACAATGCCTGTATTTGCTTTGGGCTCATTTGGATTTTTATATGAAGAGATCAATACCAATTAACAAATTGCAATTTAATGCAAGATCTTTAACTTCTAATGAAGACAGTAAGTTTCCATTATTACTAAATTCAATTACAACTTTTGTATTGATTTATATGAATTTTAGCTTTTATATCGTCACCATCAGAAGCTGGATGGAAAATTTCAGTAGAAGATATTAGTTTATTAAAGAAAAATTTGATATCAGTCCTTAATGAAACATTCTGCAAGCAATTAATTGCAACAACACAATCTCAAAATTCTTCTGATAAAGGATTCACAGAGGGACTTTTACGGCGCATAAAAAGTCTTGTACAATTTGTATCAGTGAACTAAATGTTATGATTTCAGTTTAATTAAAATTAAGATGAATGTTTATTGTACTTTCATATACATTTGTGGAATTTTTTCAAAACCATACCTTTATTAAAATTTAAACAAGAAAAAAATTATATAAGTTTATTTTTTAGCCAACAGCTATCTAGTTCAGTTTTCAAATTTTCTATTTCATTATATGATAAGAGAGGGGGATTTTCAATGTCATCAAACAGAATTTTTAATTCTTTATTGTCAACATGATCTGTATATGAATCTCCATATTTGTCGAAATATTTTACTTGCTTTGATTCTGTTTCTTCTGTTGCAAAAATGATGTCTCTCGGTTTTGGACGGCAAAATTTTATATTACTTCTATTTGAGAAATTGTCAATTAGCCAACTATATTTAATAATGTTATGTTGACCTGTTTCACTAATTTTTTTTGCTCGAAATCCCATTTTTCCTGCAATGCATATACAACTTTTACGTACAGTTGGATTTTCAACAACCTTGCCACCATGTTGTACCACAATTTTTTTCAAATCTTCAATTGAATATTTGCCATCAACTGAACCTGATAAGACGCAAAATTCAAAATTTTCAAAAATTGAAGATAATCGTTGTACCTAAAAAAGAAAATCAATGAATAAATTACCGAAATCTCATATAGGAATACGAAATTTTAATTACATTATCGGGAATAAAATTAGATTTGTAAGGATTTTCCAAAAGAAGTTTTATTTTTTTCGCTGGAGCAAAATCTTTAGCATCAAGATTACGTTTATATATTTTCTTAACCCTCTCATTTTCTTCAGTTTCATTACACAATTCTTGAATGGATGTTGATTCTAACCAAACTTTATCTGTTCTTATTGATAGTATTCTCGGAAATCTTAATGTGAAGTCTGTTTTAAAATCTTCACTTTTGCTTAATTCTGTTGCTGTTACATCCAATAAAACAGTATTTTTTAGAGGCAACCAAGAATCTGCTTCTAGCTTTCCAATCACAAAGTTTTCAGGCTTTTCTTTTACCAAATGTTCTTTTATTCTATTATTTAGTTGCTCCTTTTCTACATTTGATAGTCCAGAATTAACGGTTGCAACGGAATATATTTTTGATGCACCTTAATTTAAATCAAATGTTAAAAAAATAACGAACGAAAGTCAAATGATTTACATACATACATGGTTCTTCTTCATTTTTATTTAAGGCACCTAGTAAATAACTATTAATGTAATTTTTCGAACGATCAAAAGTTACGCCCATAATAATAAAACAAAGATCTGCTATAACATCATCAACATACTAAAAATTAAAAAATGTTACACATATAAATATTATATCAAAAATAATAATATGTATATCTAAATTACGTCAGGTTTAAGTTTATACCATCCATCGCCTCTTATTCCTGGTTTATAAATTGATGATGGATGCTTTAGTACTATGCCCTCTTCATTTGCATTCATAGCTTCATTAAATTTTTCTATAAATTCTTCCAAACTGTTAACTTTATCTTTATGACAAAGCTGTAAAATTCCTTTTTGTACTTTCAAAATTTCGTGAATTTTTCTTATTCTTTCAAAATAAGGTTTTTCCAAGAATGATTCATTATTTAAATATAATATATCAAATACAACAAAACAAGGATTAAGATCCCCACCAGATTTCAAATGCTTAACATCATAGTTTTCACCTTTAACACAAAAGCTTTGTTTAGTTTTACTCCACACCATCATTTCACCATCCAGTATAATTGATTCTACCGAAGAGTTTAATAAATTTTTAATATTACATGTAAGAGAACCAGCATTGATATTTTCACCGAAATTTTTTGTGTAGTCTATGCCATTTCTTGATAAATATTTGAATGTACCATTTTTCATATGTATTTGAAATCTTTCACCATCCATTTTTGTTTCTAAATAATAAAAGGCACTTTGTTCAAAAATTTGTTTGAATTTTGTTGGTTGTATTTTTTGGCATAACATGGCTTTAATATGTTGAAATAATTCGACTTCTACTTTATCAAGATCAAAATGTTTTCCTGATTCTATGATATCACAAACTTTATACAAATTTGTCAATTTCATGTACAGAGGTCTTGCTTTATTATTATAAATTGAAAATATTTTTTGTTCACCAATTCCTAAATGAAGCCTTTTAAATAAAATTCTTATAAACCATTTTTGTTCCATAGCAGTGGCAATTTCGAAAAATTTGGTCAATTCACTTTCAACGACTAAAATATAGTGGAAAAAATAAGTGTATGTATAAGAAATGTATGTATATTATTTATACCTTGCCGGTTATTATTTACTATTACATCAAGAAGATCATGTAATTGTTTCAATGAAAAATTACTGCCATTATTTGGTCTACTTTTTAAAACGTTAAAAGCTATGTTTGCGAAATCTCCTTCATAAGATTGATTTTCGTTTTTATAAGTTAACTTTTTGGCATCTTCCCCTTAAATAGAACAAAGTTAAAATTTGTTTGTTAGTTAGTTAATGAATTTTAAGAAATTGGGAACTTTTTGCATTCAAGAGGTTTTCTGCGTAGGCAGGTACAATTAGTATTTATTTTAGAGGGATACCTTTCCATTCGCAAATGATTTACGAAATAGTCGATATCGATTATATTCTTACCATTTGGTGCCAAACCAAGAATCTTAACATAAATTTTGCCCATTGTTGTGGTTTTTATGCCATAGGTTCTTCCATCTGTGTTTGGAAGTAAAATTCGTAACACACAGTAAAATGTAGAATCAGAACCCTGATCAGAATAACAGAAATTAAAAAAGTATACCACGAGCTTGAATTTGGATACCTACTGTTAAATGAGATTCTTGTTTAATCTTATTAAAATTTTCGATAAATTTCTTTAAACAATTTTCTTTTTGACGGATATCTTTTGAGTTTTGAATTTTTTCTAGCAAGTTTACAAGATCACTGTATTTTATTATTTCTGAAATCTCCTACAAGAAAAAAGAAATAACAAAATATATAAAACATTCGTAACAAAATAATTACCTTCATTATTGCAACTTATAAATAATTTATAGTGTTTAATAATTAAAAAATATATATATTAGTTCGTTTCTGTTGAGGCTTGTGAAATTAAAATAACAAAATAACACAGAATTGACAACATACTAACACATAATAACTGTGTTCAACAACTTATCGTTTCAGTACTCCCACTCACAAGTCACAACTAAAAAAAGCATTGATAATTTTTTAATAAAAGTGAAGCACAGAATTTTTTGATGAGTAAACTGTAACTTGAAATTTAAATTTATTATAATTTTATTTTTCTTTTAATTAAATTAAAATTTATACCTTTCATGTTTTTCTAAAATTTTTTAATATAGAAAATATGAAATAAATAGTAAAGGACTTTCGGTACCATTTTTAACAATAAGAATACAAAATATGGAAAATTTTTTTAAGATCAATTTTTTAAAATTGGTAGGAAATTTATTTTTCTAATTTAAAGTACTGATTGCATTTTGTAATGAAAAATTTAGGACAATGCGATTGCAAAAATATTTTGGATTTTGACTATTTCGTGTTATATTTGATGAGCATGAAATTTTCTGGATCAAAAGTTTAAAAATGAAAGAATAAAATAAAAACCTTAAGAAGTGACTATTTTAAAATTCACAAAATAAAATTTTCAAATGTTTCATAATTACCGCCAGATATCTTGAAATTAAGCTATCTTTCATAATTTGACGTTCTATTTGACAGCTTTTGCAGATAACTTTTACAATAGCATAATATGTCATAAACACATAATTTTGATAAAGGTTTTTTACATGTTTCAAATTTGTTATGAAAAATTTGTAGTACAGTACCTATTAAAATATTCCCCGGTAAAATTATATACAAAAAAATAAAAGTAATTAATAAATAAAAACAGAAAATGGAGGAAAAATATAATGCTGAAAATATTATAAAACAGTTCAACTCTGCTAATGCCAAAAAAATAGCTCTTGTAGTCGTTTGTGGATTCATTATTTATCATGGAATTTTGCATATTAAATATGGTAAGCAGAAATATGTTGCAAATTTGACATTTTAATATATGTTTTTTAAACTAGGTTCGGACTCTTGTAAGTGGCTTCTTGCAAAAGGTCGATACAAAGGTAACAAAGAATGGCAACCATATGGATGTATGATGCATAAATATTCTCAAATGTAAGCGCAAAAATTAATTTCAACATTTTGCAAATTATCGATTTTTAAATATTATTTTAGGGATACTAGAAAATGCTTTAGATATTTGGCATTTTATGGTAACAAAAATCATTTCATATTTATTGGTGATATTCGAATGAAAATGCTATTTCAATCCTTCATAAATCATCTTCATCCTCATGAGGATAATGAAAATAATTCAGTTTTAATGTCACAGACCAAAGAAAATAGTGATTTTATTGATTACAAATTAAAATTACGAGCTGTGTATATATACGCGGATCATGTTAGTAAAGAATTAATTGGAGAACTAGAAAAGTTTCAAAAAGATTCAGAGCCATCTTTTGGGTCGGGGTCAACCTTTATAATAGGATTTACAAATTCCGCGTTTTTAAGTGGAAATGTTACTGAAAAAACTTTAATTGACTACTCAACTAACTTAGAACAATTAATAGAAACATTTAAAATTATAGCTATGAAAAAGTCGAAAATTTTGTGGAAATTACAAGATCATGTTTTAGAGGAAAAACTTCCGGATGAATGGAAAAACGTAGTTAATGAGGATATCGATAAATTTAATAAAGTAGCTAAAAGTGTTTTTAAATATTCAGAAGCTAAGATTTGGGAATCGTCTTTTCAAATTTCAAATGGGTTATTGGATAAAGTTATTGATGGTTACAAATTAGATGATCTGGCATTGCAACATGATGTTCAAATTATTTTAAACATGTAAGAGAAAATAACCTTTGAATATGTGGGCTATTCCATTCAGTTATTTGAAATATGTATATTTGTTGGGTTTTTGTTTTTTTAATTCCAGGTACTGTAACGATTACATGAATTACAATGATGGTTCATGCTGTAGTAGTCCAGAACCTTATACGGTGCTTCAAATAGTTTCATATTCAGTCTTTGGAGTATGGTAAGGATTTTTCGAATTTATTTAGATAGACTGCAAAATTATTTTATTTTTATGCTTTTTTTAGTATTGTATTGGTTTTAGGAATGTTATTAAGACGATGGATATTAACCATCAGGGGAATTACATTCTATGTCCCTCTAAATCAAGCAGCAGGTGATGGTGTAACACCTATTTCAGGAACCACTGATTATTCTACAGCATTGTTTGCGATGGCGAATCTTGGAATTATTCTGGCTTATTTTTATTTATGTGATCGTACCAATTTTTTTATGAAGGAAAATAAGTATTATTCAGAATTTAGCTTTTGGATACCAGTAGGTTACGTTTTTGCTTTAGGTTTATTTTTCACTGAGGATAGTCGTTTTACAAAAGTTTTAAACCGTGATCAAACCGATGAGCTGAGAGGTTGGATGTTACTTGTAATACTTATATATTATATGACAGGAGCCGACAGAGTTTTATCAATTCATATGCATATTAAAGTACTTATAAGCGCTTATATATTTTTGGCAGGTTACAGCCATTTTACTTATATGTGGCAGACAGGAAATTTCGGTATTGTAAGATTTTTTCAAGTAATGTTTAGATTAAATTTTATAACTGTAATTTTATGCTTTTGTATGAATAGACCCTATCAATTTTATTATTTCGTGCCACTTCTATCATTTTGGACATTTTTAGTTTATTTTGTTCTTTGTTTACCACCTCATATAACTGCACAAAGTGTTGAATCAAATAGTTATCATTATTTATACTTAGTTTTAAAGTTTGTTTGTTTCTTAAGTATATCTACAATACTTTATATGTCTGAAGTATTTTTTGAAAAAATCTTCGTTACGAGACCATTTAAAGCTATATTTGTTAATTTTGATGATGACATACATGAATGGTGGTATCAATTTAAGTTGGATCGATACACAATTGTATTTGGTATGATATTTGCATCAATCATACATATTGCTCAAAAAAACAATCTTTTTGATGATAATAATCATGGAAATCTTTTTTCTCGTCGAATTTCATTAACAGTAACCTTAGCTGCTATAATAGGTGTAGGATTTTATACATCATTTAGTTTTCTTTGTAAAAGTCAACAAAATTGTGAAGAAATACATTCATATATAGTTTTTATACCAATTTTGGGTTATATAATTTTAAGAAGTATTTCTGGTATATTACGGACACGTTATTCAACATTTTTCGCATGGTTTGGCAAAATTTGGTTAGAATTATTTATTTGCCAATATCATATATGGTTAGCAGCTGATCGTCACGGTGTTCTTGTGCTATTGCCAGGTTTCCCAACGTTGAATATGATTATTACAAGCTTTATATTTGTTTGTGCTTCACATGAAGTTCATCGACTTACCCAAATATTATTACCAATAATGGTGCCAAATGACTGGAAATTAGCTTTAAGAAATTTTGTATTTTTCTTACTTATGCTAGTACCAATTGGTCGTTATGACGGAATGTTTTAATTTTGAAAACAGTACAATTTATTAAAATTAATTTGTTAGTTTGTTCTTTAATAATATTTTACAATTAGAAACAGAATTTCTGTAAATATTTTCAATTCTTATTTATTATAAGACTTGTTGAAAATGTTAAGTATTTTTAATTGAACTAGTTTAATAATTTTTCGGAAGTTTCAGTATTATTTAGTTGTTTAAGTATGATGAATGTATAAAGCTCAGTATGTAAATGGAATAGAATATTTTTCATAATAGCGCTGTTTAAAATTTGAATCATTTTAGTATAGGAAATATGTAGATTTAGTAGTTTTTTTAATTAGTTTATTTTTCGCATTGATGCAGAGAAGAAAATATTTGTAAATATTTATTACGGCTGAAAACTTACTAAATAAATTGAAAAAAAAATCAAACAAAATCTGTGTTTAATTTGACATTAAATTTTCTTTGGATTCTCAGGAATTATTAAATTCATTGCAAAAAATTATTAATACTTTTCAGAAAACTGGAATATTGGGCTTTAAAATATGTAATATAAAATACGTTTTGGAACACTCAGGTACAACATGATTTTTATTCTTAATATTCTTTTATATATTAAATTATAGATCACATTATGTACTTAATTTCGATTTAGTCGTATTTTAATTAACATTATTGTAAAATTTCTTTATATTTAAATACAAAACTTAATTAATCATTTTCGTCAATTTTATCCGTACAATATTTTATATTAGAAGTAAAAACATCATATCCTAATGAAATTAAATTATCATATAAAATTCTATATTTCGGTGGTAACCAATAAAAATTTACTACTTGAGCTACTGGCCAAACCATCCATTCCGCTGCATATAATTTCCATGCTTTTTCTTTAATTTCATTAAGAGTTTCTTCCAACGTACTTTTCTCTAATATTCCTAATGTTATAAAAAATATTGATATATATAACGGTGAACAAATCAATTGATCTAGAACCACTTTTTTTAGAACTCTTTGAAATAAACACAAAAAAAAAAATAAGAATAAAAATTAAGTAGCAAAAAAATTATTTATATAAATTTTAAGTATTAACTCTATCTTTTTTATTTTATATTACTTAAACGGATTTAAAATTTTTAAGTATGTACATTTACGTAAAAAATTAAAATTTATAAAAGATTTTGAATAATTTTAAAAATATGATGATTTTTATTTTTTTACATACATAACTATACTTGAGCCTGGGAGCCTTTTATCTAAAAATCTATACCAGTAATGACATATAAAACCAACACTAACACCAGATACTGCCATATTCATTGTGCGCTTTTGATCCCATTTATTGATTCGTCCAGAATATTTTTCATATTTCTGTTCCAAAACATCACCAAGTGATGATAATGTTAAGCTAACAATGCAAAATTAAGTAAAAAATTTTTATAAAATATTTATATAATTTTTTCTAGCTTATAATTTAAGCATATTTAAAAATTGATTTAATTGTATTAAGTGGTTTGAATTTGAGAAACTTACTTAATTTAAGTTTATTTAAATTCTTTTTTATTTAAAGAAGAATATTTTATTTGTAAAAGCTAAATGTGAACTAGTTTTGAATAGAATTTTTAGATTTCCAGAAATATTATTTTTTAAAATGAAAATTGGATAATTATTATTTTTCAACACAATTTTGTGTTTACTTATATAATTTATATTATATAATCAGGTGACAACTTGAAGCATCAGATTTATAGGCTTTTTAAGTAATTGTTATACCTCCACTCCTAGTTCTTAAAATTATTCAACATTGCACGACAAAAAGGTATGATAGTTATGTAAACATGCGATTGTTACTAATTTAAATTAGATTATAATAAATTGATTTTATTGTTAAGATTAAAATTATGTTAAGTAAAAACACTCTTTACGCATATCCAGTTTAATTAATTAATTAAATTAATAATAATATATAAAAATTAATATGTAATAATATATTTTCAAAGAGTGATAAAATTATTGTTTGCCTCCATCTCCAATCAAATCCAACAAGCTTATTATTGTTCAAAAAAAGAAAAAAATATTAAGATTTCAAAATGTGCCAGAAATTCTTAACGATAGATTAAAGTAAAAAAATATATACAATAATAAAATAAAAATTAAATAATATTAATACTATATAAAAGGATGAATTTGGTTAATTAAGTACAATTTATTTTAAAACGTTACTCTACAATATTCTTTGAATTAAAATATGCTATTTAATATATAAAATCGAGCCCAAAAACATTTAAAATGTTATTTATAAAAATATTTATAACTTAATTATTAAAATAGATATATAAATTAAAAAATATATCAAATAAATAGGTTCTACTACTTAATTTGTCTTTAAAAAAATTTAAAGTAAGTGTTTAGGATTTTGAACTTACCATTTGAAAATCATCTAATTATTTACTTGAAAAGAATTTTTATTTAAATTTATAGAAAAACTATTAAAATTGATTTAATCTTTACATGTAAATATTAGTAATTTTGTAATAATTAGATGGTATATTAAAAATTGAATAATTTTATTAATATTCCAGACCACTAAAAATTTCATTTTATAGAAATTTCTCACATTTACTTTCCCTAAAACTTGTTTCGCAGAACAGCTTTTGCCCTATTGCCTTTAAAAAATAAAATTTCAAACAAAACTATTTTATATTTTCTTTTTTCAAAGTTTTATTTAAAATTATGATAAAATATAACATTAATCTGTTATTTTATATGTTGAAATATCATATTTGTTCTTAATATAAAAATTAGGATTAATTTTCTTTCAAGGATTAATTCCCTTTCCTTGTAATTCTCTTTCCTTAAAATAAAATATTTAATTATAGAACAACTAAGGAAATTTTGGGATATTTGAAAAATTTATCATATATTGTAATATAAAAATTTTAAATTTTCACAGAACCAGAAATGGAAAACAAAATTTAAGTTAAAATCATTTGAGTTTCAAACTTCAAATTAAAAACCTTTGACACCATTCGAATTTTTAGTTTTTGTTTTCAATTGAAATAATAAAATAGTCATTTGGCAATAGAAATCGCAATAAAAAATTTAATATTAAATTTTATTAATAACGTTAAAATCAATTATCAGTAATTGTGAATTTAATATTAAATACAATAATAATATACAAAAATTGTTTTTCAATTAAGAGATTTCGGATTTATATCAAAAATGAAGATGGAAAATCATACAGATCAATAACACATACCCATATAATATAAAAACAATACAAATACACCTCACCCATAAAATGAAACAGATTTTGATTAGAGCGGTGATACAAGTTTTATTGACTAAAATTTAAATAAAAATGTCTCTAGAATGAAAAAAAAAAGTTAAAAATTAAAATAATTATTAAATTCTTATTTTCTATTTTCTATTATATATTTTTATTTTATTTAATTTTTTTTTGTTAATTTTATATATATGTATATTTTTATTATTTAATTCATATGCATTTTTTGACTGAATTTTACAGATATTTAAATTTTAATATTATTTGACTTGAGATATTCTAAGCTAAAATTAAATGGTAAGTTTGTATTCATTTTTGAATTACTTTTGTGTTGCTTTTACTTTTTGAATATTATTTTGCTTTAATTTACATTGTTTTATGTTTTGCAATTCTGTATTCAATTAATCCGGCTAATCTAAGGTACTTCGCTAGAAACAAAATGTAAATTAAGCGAGAAATTTTGTTTTCTTCTTTTTAAGTAAATATTATAATTATTTATACATTTATGTAATTACAATAGGATAAAAAAAAGTACATTTATCTAAAGAAAAATACTTAAGTTTTTCTTGATTTTAAATTAATTTTTTTCTTTTAATATTTCAAATATTTTTTTAGTTTCAATGTTGGCTCTTTATTTTTTTTTAATGTTTTATTTTGTAAATTGGTTTTTTTTTTAATTTAATTGTAAATGATTCTTAATTTTTACGTTAAATTCTTTTTCTCCTTTTATTTTTTTAATTCAATTTTAATTATTATTTAATTTTAATTAATATTATTTTTATATGTTTGCGTATACATACATATACATATATATATATATATTTTAATTATTTTTTTTTTGTATTTTCTTTTTCTTTTTCAAAAATTTATATAATTAAAAATTAAGATCAAAATTGTTTTTTTTTTTAAATGGTAATTAATTAAAATTAATTAGAACAAAGAATATATTAATTATTATAATTATTATTATTTTTATTATTCCCTCAATTTGTAATTGAATTGAGTTTCTGGGGAATTCCATTCACAGTCTTCGATTTTAGGACATCATTTTCATATGATAGTACAGTTTCTTTACCATTTTCATATACTTTTTTTGTCATAATTTTTTTACCACCAACAAATTTTGTTGATGTTGATGTACGTTTAACTGCACCACTTCCACCACCACCACCACCACCACCAGCTGATATTGAATTAAATGATGAAAATGTTGTAAAAATACTACTTGTAGGTCCCATATCTGGTGTAAATATGAAATCCATCATTGAATTACCCAACATTGGTGTCATAAATGATGTCATTATTGTATTAATTGGATGATGTTGTTGATGATGATGCTGCTGTTGATGATGCCGGCTATGTTGACCATTACTACGATGTGAATGATGATGATGATGTCTATTTGATGGATGATGTGAATTAACATGCTCATCAAATAAATCGGCAAATGGTGAATGAACACCGAAAAATTCTTTAAATACTTCTTCAGGTGGCCTAAATACAAAATGAAAACCACCAGTTGGATCAAAATCATCAAATTCTTGAAAACCGCCATGTCTACCCGATGATCTATGATGATAACGTGGATTGTTTGGACTACTATCACTTAATCCTTCTTTACCAAATTGATCATAGATTTTACGTTTTTTTGCATCTGAAAGTACTTCATATGCTTCAGATATTTCACGGAAGCGTTTATTTGCTTCATCTAAATTTTCGGGATTTTTATCTGGATGCCATTTTAATGCTAATTTTCTATATGCTTTTTTTATTTCGTGATCTGTAGCAGTTGTTGTTACTTCTAATGTACTATAATAGTCAACCATATTTTTTGTCTTTTATTTTACACACGTATTTTAATTATTTATTTTAATTTTTATGTTGAAAAACCAATTTTTTCTTGTTTTCAATAATATTTTGTTTTAATTTTTTTTATTTCCTTATTTTGCATGAAGAAAAACAAAAAAAAAAAAGCGTAAAATCCTCTGCTCGCCGCTTTATTAAAATTCCAAAATAATTCCAATTTATTGTAGGATACCAAATATTGATTTTTTTTTTCTTTGTCCTCTCAAATCTTGATATTTATATTACTTCACTTAAATCCTTTATGTTTTTCCTTTTAAGTTGATTGTATGCCAACAATATTACTTATTTTCTTTATGTTGGAGATTAATTAACTTCTGTTTCATAATTTACTTGCGATAAAATGCATCTATTTATTGACAGGTGCTGATTATTTACCTAAAAATATTGGTTTTTTTATGTTACTAAATATGATGAAGAGATGGTGTGGATGGAAATCAATTTTTAGCTTTTAAACATTATTCTAATAAATATAAAAAGTTGATTGAATTTGTTTCATTAAAATTTCAAATTATTTTTACAAACAAATATTAACTATATATTTTTTTTTAAATTTAAATATTATTATTTCCCATTTTAGTTAATAAATCAAATTTATTTTTTTTTCCTACTTTTATTTTCACAGTTCCTCTTCTCGTTTATTTCTTGAATACGATTGATTTTTCAGCTGATATGAAATTATTTTGTATACATTGGAGGGTGAAACAATATTGCCAAATACAATGCAAAATTTAAAAAAGCATAAAAGCTCGATTAAAAGATTTGATATTTTTTTTTTTAAATTTCAGGTTTTTCAAAATTTTAAATTTTTGATTGAAAAATTTTACTAGGAATATTTTTTTTTATGATTTTTGATTAAGTTTTTTCAAAAGACTAATAAAATAAAAAATAATGTATACTTAGTAGTTCAAGCCTACTTTTTATTTTACACAGAGAGCAGGGTGATTTAAGGTGATATTTTTGAGGAAATGTTGAGGCTTGTCATCGTTGTTTTTATCACTCACGTTTTAGTAATAATTTTTAATCATTAACAAAATGAATGATGAAATGAAAAAATTAATGCTGTTTATCATTCATTTATTTTTTCTTTGGCGATAGCTAATTTTTGTCTTTGGCTCTTTTTCGCTTTCGTTAATTTTTAGTGAAAAAGATGACTGGGGCCATTGTATATTATGGATAAAATATAATTTTTATATTTTAAATTTTAGTAAATTAAATAAAAAATAATTTGTAATATTTTAAAGTTTTAGTTTTTTAAAATTTCTATTTAAACTTTTAAATTGACTGGAATGCTGTATGTAAATGCTATATTTTAAATTCAGTATACGCTTCTGCAGTATAAATGGTTCAGTTCTACAAAGCTATAACATTTTAATGGCAAAAAAAAACACTGTAAATTATTTGAAGGTTCAATACTCGTAGAAGAGGCTAATGGTGATATCTAAATAATTTTAAAGAATGAAAGTTTTCTTTCGAATTAAATTTTTCTTTTAATGATTAAAATCAAAGATTCCAAAATATACGTCCATTTTTTGTTCAAATGTTTTACCCTTTATATAATAATGCAAGCTTTTTTTAAAGTCAAATTAATACAAAACTTGCTTCATTTTCTACTTCATTAACGTTTAATGTTGACATGTGAACTATAACAATGGTTTTTAAAAAGTATAAAAAAAAATTAACGAAAAAAACAAAGCGAAAAAAAAAATTATTTAAATAAAATTCTTTTGTTCGATACAATAGGCTTTAGTGTTTACGAATAAAAATTCTTATATAAAATTAATTTTACATACAGAATGTTGTCAAGTTAGAAAAATCAATATAATATTTTTAATGTACTGATAATTTCCTATTGAAAAATATTTTTGGGCTTTATTTAAAATATAAAGAAAACAAAAAAAAAATAAATTCTATTGATATTTTGAATCATACTTTACAAAAATATATCATTAATGTAATTTCAGAAATAATTAATTAGAAAATCATTTGAGAAGATTTATCAAAATTGTATAACATAAAACTATAGAAGTTATGTCTTCCATTATTTTCAATTGATTTGCGAACTAGGCACATACGTAGTTTACTTAAATCTTCAATTTTCTATTCTACAAAATTTGATATGGATATATACTAGAGCTGATACTATGCCATATAGGACAGGTTTGCATTCTAGAAAAGTCTTGATTATATGATAAAAAAGAATATATTTTACCCAATGCTCAATCAACTCTTTACTGAATTGAAGCTTTAAAATAATAAAACAACATTATGTATGTCGTGGTTTTGTGTTTAAGAGAATTTCCATGTTTTTTCTCTCATTTCAGGTATTCTTTTTCGCGCACAATGACAATTAATTAAAAAAAACAGTTTTGTATAACTTCAATAACAATTAAATTAAATTTTTATCAAATTTTTTTACGTTTTTTTTTTTTAATATAAATTATCGAGTTCAACATTACGATATGATTTTATTAAGTCACAAAATTTTTGAATTCAGCTTAAGTACAAATTTTTTGAATCGAATTGTATCACTGCAATAATTAGGAACGAATGGGATAAATTATTGTTTCTCTACATAGTTTTCGGTAAAATTTTTAATTTGCCAAAAAATAATTTTGACGTGATACGAGTATAAAATATCAATATGTCTTAAATATCATCACATTTAATTGAATGGTGTTCAGAAAATAGTTTTTGTCTCTTCATCAAATATAAAACATATGCTATAAGATATTAATTGCAGAGCTGAACATATTTGTGTATTCAGGAACCCATACTCGTAAAAGAAATTATTTTAAAAAGTTTGGTTTTGTAAATTTTAATGATTGCTGTGAGTATCAAAAATACCTACATTTTAACAATAGAAATTTATGTTTCATGAATAATTTATTAAAAATTGTCAGAAATATACTAAAAAAAATAGGGAATGTAAAAGATAAAAAAAAATAATTTTTTTAAATATTTGGCAACATCTTTTATTAAATTAATATTTTTGTTGTTTTTATATTATATAAAGAATAGGAAAAGGATACCTGTGTATACACACATAATGTTATAATTGTACATCTACGTCAATACTTTTATTATTTTTGGTATAAATACATACATATGCATATAAAATTCATTATAAATACCATTGCATATATGTAGGTATGGGTACTTAAAATAAAATATGATTTACAATGAGTATCCAAGTACAATATATTTTATTAGCATATTTTATTTTTAAATACCTTTTATACATATTACGTATGTATGTAACATAAATATGTGTTTCCATAGTAATTTGAATATATAGATTTAAGGTCTATTTTATAATAAGGGAAAAAAAATAAAAATTCTATGTGTTTCTATGGAAAATTAGAATTCAACCTAGATTATTATTACTACTTTTTAGTATAAAAATCTTGTATCCAAGTTTCTATAAGTGTACATATATGATATTATATTTGTATGTTGGGAGATCTATATGTACTCTTGTTAAGTTGACAATTTTTATTTATTTATGAAAATATGAAAAGCGGAAAAAAAAATATTATTGATTTTTCCAATATTCTCAAGTAAATTTATCATTATCCTTAATACCACAAAAACGCGGGTGTATAAATAATTTGTTTATTTTATTTTTTATTAGAAGAAGTGGAAACAAAGGTGGTATAATATAACAGTAGTCTTGTATAATCTGAAATATTTTAGAAAAATGAATAATAAGAGGAAGAAAACAACAAATGTGTACACAATAGATCGAAATATTTAAAATGAAATAGGACCATAATAGAAAATTATAAAATATGTTTTTTTTTGTTATTGTTTTAATTAAATATTAAATATTATTTAAGAAAATGCATTCTGAGTAATAAACAAAAGATCTTTTGGTACAAATTTTTTCTTTTTGTACTATAAATGTAATGTGTGTGAGTATTGCAAAAATATTTTATTGCATTTTCATACCCCATTATTCCATAACCTACCACAACTTTTCCTTTCTTTCATAGTAATTTAAAATTTTCGTTATGCATAGACATACAAATATATAAAAGTTATATATTTATGCATATGTACCAGTTTTTATAAAAAGTAAAAATATAAAAATATAAATATGTAAGTATATGAAATTTTACTTTTATTATTTTCATAAAAATATTTTTACGTACATCTCCATATACATACAATATTTAAAATTTTTATTTTTTTTTTCTCTTGAAAATTAAAACATTAAAATTAAATTTTATCGCCACACTGATTTTGGCTAAATGCCAATTAGTAGCAAGTTCGTGTAATATATTTTATTTAAAATTGAGTAAATGCTAAATATTGCGCAACTTTTCATATTAAATTAAAAAAAAAATTAAAAATTTTATTTAATATTTTTATTTTTAATTTAAAATTGCTACTTTTATAAAATAAGATTTGTATGGGAAGAAATAATAAATTTTAAGTTAACATTAATATTAATATTACATAAAAAAATAACAAATTATGTATTTTATATGTAAATATTTTTTTTTTAAATAAACTCTTTAAATTTTAAGTTTTAAAAGAAGTCCTGTGAACGTTTTTTATTTTATGTTTTATATAAAGAAAATAAATAAAAAAAATGTATAAATAAAGTTTATTGAACTTGAATAATCAGTTGGTGGTGGTTAATAAACTTGTGGTTATTAAACTGGGGAATATAGTCGTCATTTCGTAATTTTTATGGATTTTTTTGTTTTTCTTTTTGTGGATCTTTTTGGAGAAAAAATGTGCATTGAAATTTATGCCTTTTGTTAAATTTTATAATATTGAATGCATTTTTTTAAATTATTATAAATTTTTTTTATGAAAATAATTAAATATTTTACAATATTGGCATTTTCCTAATTTTTCACAATATTCACAAACTGCGAGATATTTGGGTTTATCGTTTATACATAAATAAATTTTGCGTATCTAATTTGTTAATAAACATGACTAATTTTTCGCAATATAACAAAATTAGTATGAGTAGTGCAGATAAATCATATGAACAATTTTAAATTTATACTAGGACAGTTAAAAATATATGGCATATTTATCACGTTATGTTTTTGCAGCATTGTATCTTTGCAATTATTGTTTTCCATTATTACGTTCTTATAATTGCGTTGAATATTAAAATTAAATAAAAATTTTAATTACCACTAAAATTAAGTGCCATATCTATATGAGTTTTTTCGGGAGCAGTTTAAGGTGTAAAATGAAATTTTACACACTTTTACTAAAAAAAAAAAATATTGTTATTAATTTAGTGTATTATAAAAATATTTGTATTTATTAAGGTTGAAATAAAAAATTCTATTGATATACATATATATGTATGAACATAATATTAATTTTATACCATTTTATATAATTGATGTTTTTAAAGTAATTTTGCCTTGCCGATTCTTTCCTACATTTATTTTTTATAATTCATATTTGACAAATTCTATGATGCAGTTTATAACAGTATTTTAAGGGAAAAAAATGTTTTACTTTCAGATAGATAACATAATATTGTTTTTGATGATTAATATATAAAAAACTTATCTACAATATGACTAATAATATTGCTAACACTTTTAATAATTTGCAAACATTTGTCAAATATTATTTCAATAATAATAAAATAAATATTTAATAAATATATATATAAATATTTTTATTGCATTTAATTAAATATTGTAAGGTATCTGTTTATAAATTTTTTTGATATTTCAAATTAACAATAATGAAGTATTTACTTTAAAATCATGGGCGCACATATTATAGAAAAGTAAATTTATATAAGAGAAATTATAAACTTAATATAGATGAGTATGTTTTTCAATATAAGAATAATCAATTCGATTAGTTTAACAAAAAAAGTCCAAGAATAAGTAAGTAATGCATTCTAATTTTTATATTCTTATGAAATATGAAGTTAGAATTTTGAAATTACTCATCTTAATTATTTCGTAATCTAAATATTGAAATATAAGATTATTTCAAATGGATTGATAATTTCCGTTAATATTCATTATTACTTCAAGGCAAAATCACTCTCTCATTTTAGAAATTTTCCCGGATATTTTAAAAAATATTCTTCTTCATTCAAACTTGATAACAATTTAATTTAGTATTACTTTTGCCATATTCTTCATTCCAAATATTTCTATATTTTTATATATATTAATATAATGTTATGTAAGTATTATATTAAAAAATAAAATAAACTTTTATGTTAAATAATAATTCACAATTTTAATAAAAAAAACTATTAAATAATAATAAAATAAAACTGTAAATTAATACTTATAAAAATAGTAAAGCAAAATTTTCCAAATGGTTCAA